GCATGGCACGGCGCGCCATCTCACCACCCGGATGCGTTCAGAATTGCATGGCATCGCACATGCACGGGCTCACACGGCCACGTGGCAAGCGCAGTACAACCACACAGGCACGCAAACACGCAGCCATGCAGGCCACGTAAGCAGCAACATTTCAGGGGTGCAAACGCGCACACACACACACACACTGGCAGTCACTCGTGCACGGAAACACAAACACAAAACACACACACACACAATCCTGGGTCCCAACAGTTACACGCATCAAACTGTGTCCATCCTTGCTTCAACTCTTCTTGCATGCTGCTTTTTTGGACAAGTACGACAAGATTCAGATCGCTTCTGGACAAGTTCGGTTACCCTCTAAACTTCGTCCGAGCGGCAAAGCCATTCTGATAGCCCGGGCAGTGCAAGTACCACAGGACACGCTTCGCGGTGTCGCTTCTGGCCGCGGCCTTCAAACTGCGCAGCGACCGACCCTTGAATTTTATGTCACTTGCATAGGTGTCCTTTTAGGGGAAATGCATGGCCCTGGTAGATGATTAAACCACCAGGTAAACCAGGGCCATCTACTTTTCTAGCCAAACAACTAAAAAGGACACCTATGATCACTTGCCTCAACAAATACGCTCCCCCCAAATACTTGTTTGGCAGAGATTAAGTGCTCATTGCAGGACCTCACTTCGGCAAAGGCGGAAGAGACCGGCAGGGCGTCCGTAGGCAGTTTGAACCCGCAACAGCGTCCTGTTGTAGCAAAATACATATCATGTTCACAGTGGGAACTGGTAATGGCATTTGTGCCGCCCGCTGGAATTCCATGTGTTACAATGTCGTAACAGCTTGAGTAGTAAGCCCCCACCCCACCCCCACCCCCGCCGATTAAAGGTTCCCCCTTGTCCCTCCCAGATTCCGACCAATACTCAAGGAAAGGGCCAACAAGGTTTGCCAAAAAAAAACACTATCCAATACGTTTTGGTGTCTCCTCAACCTCCCCCCCCCGATTAAAGGTACGCCCCTGTCCTTACACCCACCAATGCTAAGTCGCTATGTAACCAAGTTTTCCCTTAACATGTGCTTCCCCCGAAATGCATTTTTTGTCACAAAATCTTGATTAAAATGACAAGGTGTTCAAGCTCGCAAAGGGGGCCCACTTCATTGACAGAAAACCCCCCGCGCTTAATCAAGGCCCGTTTGGGCTAAAAAAAACAACTGCTGTCCTATTGCCCAGAAGGGGCCAGAAGTAAGCTTGTCCAAACAAGGCCGGGGGGGGGTTACTAATCAGGGGTAACCATTGTCCATCAGGTCCAAATCGAATGCTGACATCGCGAAATGGCGGCTTTGCATGCCACACTACCACTGTATGACTCATGGCTTGATTAGAGAGCATCATTGAGCCCAAGCACAGAAAGTGAACATGACAAATATCGCCTTGGGTCGATGCGCGCGCCCCCCGCTGGCAAAGCGAATTGCAGTTAATGTCAAGCAAACGAGTCCCGTCAGCATACCTTACACATCATGCACTGCGGAGCAACAAAATACGGCATTTTCGCTTTTTACAGCCCGCCGATCCCACCCTACATCGGGTTCCCTTGAAACATATCCGCATAGCCATCTGCAAAAAGCGGCGAAAGCAAAGGTCCCGGGCCTTAGTGGTGCAGTCCTTGCCAGCAAAGACGTGAGGCACTCCAAGGTATGTGAACTCCACGGTGGCCTTGCACAGCGCATCTCCGTTTTCCTGTCGGTTCAGATGGCGTGGCGACTGAATTAACACATGCACATGGGTGTGCATTTTCTGCGGTTGGTACACTCTTCAGGCTGGTTTGCAGTGAACAACTGAAACCAAAAGAAACACCGCCATAGGGGTGTCCCTATCCACATCTAAATTTGCATACAGCAATGCCGCTCCAAACGCCAAGGCTGGCAACCGATTTGGCCGCAATGGCTGTATCATGCTGGTGCTCTGCCTGCGGCTACTCACACACTGACCCACGAAACTGAGCGCGTTTTGTGCGCTGTGCTTCATTGACCTAGTGGCTGTGAGTTGGCTTGGTGATGTCAGACGATGAAGCAAATATTCCCAAGTACTCAAAATATGGAAGGCACCATTTAGAAGATATTTCTCATAACAACCATGACAAGACAAAATTGAGGCTTACCCCGTCTGGGCGTGATCTCTCCTGCGTCTCCCAGCGACAGTTCCACTTAATTGGCTCTGCCACAAAGTTCTCCAGGTCTGAAACCTCGACCTCTCCGTTGCGGCAGGATGTGCCTAGGGACATCAAATGCATATACTTTCCACTGAGGTCAGCAGCCCCTGCCACATGTCATGACTTGTTGACAAAGGCCAGCAGCAGTGCCGTAAGTTTCTTTGAATTGGAGAATTGGAAACCTATGAGTTGGAGAATCGGAAACGTAGTGGCACAACGTCAGTCAAGGGAAATCCCCCCCGTTGCCAGTACATGCCAGCACATTCCAGCACCGAGAGCCAAGAGGAGTGCAGGCCGAAAGACCCTCGGCTCAGCTGTTCGGCTCTGGGTTGGAGCTAGCTGAATGTTGCATTGAGGCTGGCAAGGCATGGGCAACCAATACGACAAAGCACCATGCAATGCAACTCGCAACATCTCACACATACACACACACATAGTGTTGACCCCGGATTCATAAACCCCTGCTTATTAATATGGGGGTGTTCCCCTCCAAAAAATGATAAATCCCCTCTAAGGCCAGGAACACCCATATTAATAAACAGGGGTCTGTTCATCCGGGGTCAACATTACAAAGCATGTTTGCATTTTAGATAGGCCACTGCGGGTCTTGTTCATGGGAATCTCGCTCTTTGCCAGCTCCTGCCCGCACACGCCGATGAAGAAGGCGAGCGCGCGTTCCGCCGCGTCGCGCTGGGACTGCTTCTTGGAGGGCCACCAGCCACCTGAAATTGAAAGCTGATGCCAGCAATCCTGCTTTCCACAGGAAAGGTGCTACCAACTCTGGAAACCACCGGCAACAGCGCACGCATGCCACAGCCATGGTCGACAACTCCACCTGAGCGACTCAAATCCAAGTGAAGGCGAGTAGCCCAGCACATGGTGCGGAACCCCATCGAGCAGAAAGGAGGTCGTCGCGCGGAATTGCAAACTCGAGCCCGCCATGCGGTTCTCGTGGCTCCACTGCAGCACCGCGCAACTGCTCGGCAGCGGGTGCGCCTTCAGACTGGTTGCTTGTTCTTCTTTTCTTTTTTGACTGCACCCTGGCACGGGGTGGCTTAAAAGAGAAACCAACAGGACAACCACCAATTCTGGCCCAACAAACAATGGTGTGCACAGACTCACACCTTGACTGTGCTTGACTTAGTCAAGGGTCTATAAGCAAGTTAGCGTGTCGTCGATAAGGCATCTGTTGCAGGAGTAATTCCCTTTTCACTCTTGAGGGGCCATATTCAGAAAGTGCTACATAGCTTCGCCATATTTCGACCAAAAAAAAACCATACATTGAATTCAATGGAGGTTGGGACTACACAGTCCTGCTTTCAATGGGCTCCCTGCAGCTACGGAGTCTGAATGAAAGTCGATGGCACTGAGGATTCCCCTTATTTCTCTAAGAAACATAACAGAAAACATGGACGAAACAAAGGTGAGGTGCTACTGAATCATTCTCCTACCGTCATCAAAGTCACCAAGTGGTAACGGGAAAAACTGCACTTTCAGACTCTGGGACCCTGAAAATAATGGGCACAGGTGGTACCATCTACCTTCACCGCGCCCGGAGAAACCGCAGCTCTCGCCTTGCTGCTTTGCACGAACTCTTGGAGCTTGGAGATGGGCCCTTTGGAACTCCGGGTGGGGCTCGACTCTGGTGCGCTGTCGCTGTTGCCTGGTGACAGCGAAAACTAGAGGGGTGTGGGCCGTCTTTTGGCGAAAACCAATTTCAGTGGATTCAGTCCAGGAGATGTCCTTTTTTTTTGCGGCTGAAGGGCTTTGCTTTGCCCTAACGCATCAAACTTAGGCCTGAAGGGTGCATTCCCTAAGTGAGTCACAACGAGCTTCAACATATCTTTTGCATGTCCACCATATCGTCAAATGGGTATGGGTCAAACATACTGCCCTGGGAAATGGAAACATAGACTAAAACCTGCTGTCCTGCGATAATTAAATTTTGACCCATACCCATATCGTCAAATAAATAGACGGTGAACTCTTTGCGCATGGCGTGGCTGGGGCGAGGGGGGCCACGAGTCTTCAAAGGAAAGCTCACACAACTCACCTCCGGTGCCCTGACACCCAAACAACAGCAAGGACTTCAATCACTCATGTGATTTTTTACTGTAATATGGCCGTGTAGTGGACACCATTTGGGTGGGGATTTATATCCACCAACCACTTTTGATGTGGTTTCTTATGAAAATCATGGCCATACTTGGCTGCCATTGCTCAAACTGTCTCAAATTGCGTCGTCATGTCGTGCAATCATAATTTCCCTGAACAGCTTACTGAGTTCGGGCAAATTGCTCCTGTGATAGCTCACCGGGCTTCCAGGAAACTCCGAGACTGGAGTGGGTGTTGGGGTTTGGGGCACGGCAAAGGACGGAGACATAGGCGACATAGGCGACATAGGAGATGGTGCTTGGTGGGGAAGTGGCGGCATGAGCAGCATCATGTGCGAACTCGACTGGTTCGTCCAGATCGGCGATTGCATCTGAATATCCGAGTACACCGGTTGCGACATCATGGCACGGTCCACGTTCATTGGGTACTGCATGGCGGGCACCGTGCAAAAGGCCATTGCTACTCTCTCCAATACCTGGTCTCTGGAAGCCTAAAAATGCTGCGGCATCTGGCGACTTGACAGCTGAACATAACAGCAGCCTCCCATGTTGCAAGCGCAACCTGACCTTCTGTGTAGCCAGCAGTGACGAATTTCAGAATCAACTCGGGCCACTGTCCGGCTGGGTATGCTGCTGACATGCTACAGGCTCCCTCTGCCCCAAGTTTCTGCCAAAAGCAGACCTTGACCAAAAGTCGCAACTCCGCGAGGATCTCCAGAAGAAGCTCCACGTTAACCTGGAGCGAGTTGCTTTCAGAACTTTCTTTGGGCCAGATTTGCAGCGACAATCACGTGTCAAGCGTCTAAAGCGAGCATATCAATCAAAGAGCAGGCGTTCGATTACCTGCAAGGCTGATACAACCTAGATACAAAACTGCAGTATATTATTCAAGGAAATTGTATTCAATGATTGAAATCAGTTTCATGGGATTAGTTTTTTTGCAGCTTGTTTCTTTCTCACTGATTTTCCGCTGATACTCCAAAATTTGACGCACCGGCTAGCATGTAACACGGCAATCTTTCGGGGGGTCTACCCGAAAACCCTTCAGCCCTGTCTCTTCGAAGTCGGGCGCCATCTTCGGCATATTCTTCGCACGCTGGTCATATGCGGCTTTCATCTTACACAACTCCCACCGCTTGACATGAATTCGTCAGATGCCACGTACTTCCGACTGTCAACCGTGAGTAGGCATGTGTGTCCTTTCAGTCCATCCGTGGCACGAGGCCTCAGGGATACAAGAGCATGGCATTACCTTGTATAGGGCGAATGTGGACCCACCAAAACCAGCGTTGGATAATTCTCCCAAAGGAATCCCCTGACCTCGGGTTCCATGTTAGCAGGGGGTACCCCACCACCTAACATGGTTTGGGTGTCCCTTTAAAAGGAAAATGGTCCAAAAAAGGACCCGCCGAACGTCAGGGTTCATGCTAATCTTGCTGCGTAGGGAATGTGGGAATGAACCCGGTTCCCTTCAAACAAAACACCACTTGGATGGTTTATTTTCGGGTCCTTCCATCATTCCCTACATCTCTCGCACCGATCGCAAGTAATTATTCTGCAACTTTTGCTACAATTCCAAAGGCTGAATTCGTTGATGTTCAAGTAAAGCACGTAATTATTCTACTGCTACAATTCCAAAGGCTAAGTTCGTTGATTTTCAGAAGTCAAGGACCTTTCTCATGGCTTTCGCTCGTTGTAATGTTGACCCCGGATTAATAAGCCCCTGTTTATTAATATGGGTGTTCCCCTCCAAAAGTGATAAATCCCCCTAAAACCGGGGACACCCCCGTATTTATAGATAGGGGTTCACAAATCCGAGGTCAACATTACCAGGTGAGCTCGCTCCGAATGGGCAGATTCGTGGGAGCCAAATCCCACCGATCGGCGGATCGATTCGCCTGCTGCCCCCAGCGCGCCAGCCCGGTGAGCACTGCGCCCAGCAGCTCCCGGCCTGAAGTTCTGACTGGCCGAGGGGGAGACCAGGAACCATCTACACCAAGAATGGCTATGAGGGAATATAGGCCGTCTTTGCCTACAAAAAATCTCAAAGTCTGTTTTTTGTTTGTAAGAAAAACAATATATATATATATATATGCTGACAATAACAACACTTCGACCCAACTACCAACACCAAAACACAAACAAATACAAGGAGGGGGGGTGTTGCCGGGGATTCCCAAAATATATCTGGCTTTGGAATTAATCTAAAGGGGTGGTTTCCCAAAACTCCTCTTTTGCTCAACATCCTTATGGCCCAGGCTCGGAATGATTGCAACAAATGGGGTGCGGCCTCAACATGGTCTGGACTCCAATTTTGTTTCTCAGCATTGGGTGTTGCGTGATATGTCAAGTTACGCCAGGCGGAATTGTTCGCCATTTTGGGAAAGCCACGATCTTGAGATACACCCATATGACATGTTGGAGTGAGATGCAAGCAAAACAAGACCCTGTCATGTCTCAACACAATGCATATGGCCATGGGTCAAAGCACCGTACCCCCAGTGAACATCCCAATCCCCGCTAAAATAGACTAAGATGCGTGGTGCACCTACCTCAAAATGGTACCATGGGTTTTGACCCGCAGCTATATAAAATAAAGCAAGTTGAAAGCAAGCATGCAAGCGGTGGCCCACGATGGCCGCAAAGGCATGGAATTGGTAACACTCTGGTGCAAACAACGACTCGTCGATATGCCAAAAACTCCAAACAATGAGCCAAAGTTCCCCTTTTGGCCCGTTTATCGTAGTCATCCACCACCATGTGAAATGCCTTAGAATCAGAAAAGAACATGCCCTCCCCCTGTCCAGCCCCAAGAAATAACACCCCGCATCTTTGACGTTGGCACAGACGTGAGTATTCAGGAAATTGTTAACCCGACGGCCATGGAGTCGACTTCCAGGTCTTTCAAGCATCAGCTGCCCTCGAAATGGTGAGGGGTGACTTCCCATTTACCCTCGGAGGGCGCAAATCCAAATCCAAAGGGTACACTAGCCAGCAAACAAACGTAGCCAGCAAGCAAACCTGGAATAGTTGCGGATTCTTTGTTATTTGGGGGTTCTGCGTTATTGTGGAAGAGTACCTGAAAGCATGCGAGAACTGGCCGAAGATTTTAAAGGCTGAGTCTGCGCGCCATGCAGGTGTCGCTGCCTCAGAATGCGCAAATACACCACGAAGACCTGGCGAGCGAGCCTTATGCGCGACGCTGGGTGGTCCTAAAAAAGGTCTAACCCTTGGGTGTGTGTCAAAATATCGTGTTTGTCTGGTTTCCTCTAAACCAAGGTCAAAGGGTACCCTCCATTACCCTCCAAAACATGCAGCTCCACATGGGTTTGAGGATGCAACATGACATGTCCGTTGGTTTAATAGAACTTATTACCCTATTACAAGGACAAATTTCGAACCATGAAGATTCATCCCGCAGAGTCCTCCTGCCTCGTAGAGCAATTCCGCCTCGCGCTTGCGCAGCTGAGCTGCACTGGCGGTGATGGATGCCTAGCATCAAGTCCACCAGACGTTGACCAGGGAAAACAAGGCCAATGCAATCTCAACCCCGGATTAATAAACCCCTTGTTAATTAATACGATTAATAGGGGGTGTCCCCTTTTAGTGGGGGGTTCATCACTTTTGGAGGGAACACCCCCCTAATAATGCGACGGGTTTATTATCCTGGGCCAACATTTACCAAAACCTAGACTTCGCGAGTTGCAAAGTGAGTGATGGAAACCCAAAAGGCCCCCTTCCCATTGGGTGAAGAATCAAGCAGGGTCAAGGAGGCCCAGCGTGTGATACAATATTGCGTCCCCAGGACAAACATACGAGCACAACTTGGAGCCGTTGAAGTAGCATAGCTAGTGATCCTGCCTTTCATTGACCCTGTGATTGCGCTGATGGCACCTGTGCCGTTGAACGCTTAAATCATGTGTCTTAAAGCCTTTTTATTTCGGGGCCTATGCTCGTGTAGAGCAATTACCAGGAATGATCCAAGCAACCTGACCCTGCAACATACGTTTCAGAAGTGTACAACTCAAGAGGTAATTAGGCCAGCATACCCGCAAACTTGAAATGCCCCTCCTCCTCCAGGCCACGCTTTACGTCCTCATCCGCGGTGGACATGTCGCCTGCGAAGCTGTGCATGTGCCTTCTCATGCTGAAGCATTCATGCTCAGCTGTAAATGTTTGTTGCAATCAAGCGAAGATTGTGAAACCACACTACGTACAATATGTGTATATATAAATAGAGATAGATAGATACTACACCTCATGTTCGGCTTGTGTTAAGTTCAAATAGAAAAGCATGCGTTACTTAATGCAAAAACACATCGCCTACGGTGAAAAGCAACAGCATGCTTATTCTCGACTCCAAAAAGCTAGTTGTTTTAATCAACAAGCTGACTAAACAACATCATTCTAAATCATGTAAACCATGCCCATTTGGGTCTACTCAGTGCCTTTGCTGCCACCAAAACGAGCAACGGCAAATCATCGCTTCTCATGCTTGGCCTTCACACGCTCTACGCGAACCACCGGTGCAAACGACGCCGCCTACGCAACTCTGCATCCATGTTTTGCAGTTGCTTACAATGTTCAATCCCGTTGAATTGCGGGGCGGCATGCGGAAACTGCCTTGTCTACAGCAAATGCCAACTCGTGCCAACCCAACCCATGGCAACTGAAATGGGCACTATATCATATGCGACGAGAAAGGTGCAAGTTCGCCTCAAAGTCTTCCTCCTACATCTTTCCAATATAGGTATACAAGTGCATAAGCCTCAGCATGCCTGTGCAGTCTTCCATGCCAAAACATTCCCTTAAACTACAACAAGCTTGAACTCTTTGGAACCAACATGCACCCAACAATAGTACACGATGGTATATGCTTCTGCACGTGCATTGGTGCTCTCAGAACTCCCAGGAACGTATACTTCCTGTATCTTCCTTACCTATGACATTATTACGTAAAACAACCCGGACCGCCTGACCGCAAAACAGCATCAGGACAAGGTATGGAACTCAGGTCTTTTCAACCCCCTGTGCTTGGTTGCTTTTGACCCCTCCGCAGAAAGTGGTTCAATGGAAAACCCTTGATTTCAACCCAAAAGTTAAAGTCTAAAGACCCGTTACCCAATAGCAACCAAACATGGGCCCATAAACCAGCAAAAAAACCGATGCCCTCAAATTCTGCTAGCTTCCCATCAATGCCTGAGGGCCCAGTCAAGGCTGCAGCTTCCGCTCGGCCCACTGGCAGCCGCAAAAGGACCTTCGCAGATGTGTCGACCCCCGATGGGTGCTTCGCCTGTAGCTGCCGAGGTACCCAAACTACATGGGAGTGGGTCAAGAATAGGTACTGAAATGGACCTGGTAAATGGAAACAAGGAGTACAACTGCGGTCTCCTGCTGGTGCCATTTTGACCCAAAACCAATAGCAAAGGTTGGCAAAGCGTCCACGCCATCCATCACAGGAAGCCTGCAGAAGCTCAGGTCGCAGGAGACGGCAGTTGCCCTGGCACAGACACAAACACACACAAACAAACACACACACACACACACCCACCCACCCACCCACCCACACCCACACCCACACCCACACCCACACCCACACCCACACCCACACCCACACCCACACCCACACCCACACCCACACCCACACCCACACCCACACAAATAGAGGGCACGCTAAACAAACGCACGCGAAAACATGCTGAACTACTTGCTGGTTTTCAGCAGGCAACGAGGGAATGACCCCTATAAACCATCCCGATCGTCTCCTTTAAGCGAATCCCGAGGTTCATTTCCAACAAATGCAACACCCTGGCTCATTCCCTACGTCTATCGCACCAAAGACTGAACAAAAAACACAAAACTCGCCGCCCGCCTTCGCGCTCTTGCCGGCCATTTGCTGCGCCATGCGGCCAATCGCCAGCACTGCTTCCTTGGAGGCCTGCCAGGCTCCAAGTTCCTTTCCCCCGATTCGCCACACGTCAAGTGGACCCACATAGCTCAGTGATTGGGGAGGATGCTTTCAAGTCATTGTTCATGGCCGGGTTGAACTTCTGCCACTCATGTCTGGGTAAAGTGAGCCCACATATTCATACACCAGTATGATTTGCAATGATCGTGCAGTGCCACATGGCACGATTTTTGTTCAAAAACTCCAATACAACAAGTTAGGCAATGGCTGGCTTGCACAGATCTAATTACGCAACAACATTCAGCAAAGAAGTTGACACCTGCGCGTTCAGCCCATTCCAACCGCAGCTCGTGCGTACCTCCAGGCGCTGATCCGACTCCAGCATGTCCTTGCAACAGCACATGGGAAGCATCAAAAGGACTGCTTGGCTGAAAAGTGCTTGGGCAGTCAAAAGAAAGTTTGGTGAAGTCAGACTGAGATCATTGTGTTTGTTTGCTTCCGAGCCCCGATGTTGGCAAAGAAGTTGGAAGTAAGGCCTTTGGCCCTTGAAACAAACCCAGAGTTCCGTGAACGAGCTCCAATCTGTGGCCTGCTTGTTCATGTTAGCCTTAGCAGCTGCACCTTTATATCGGTGCCAACGGCCATGCCAACAAGGATGCAACAAACTGACGTGACGGCAACTTCGGCGCCGCAAGCGCAATGACATTCCGATCAGTGCGCGAGATGTGGCCACGGGAGCTGTGCATGCGTCCTGTGCACCTAGTGATACTATTGCATTTGCATATTTCAAACCTTTCACTATCGGCTGCTGTTTTCGGGTCCAATTTGTTGTGGGCTTGTGGCCTTCGAATTCATGTTGCTGCCCACCTAAAACCATCCGAAGCCAGGCGCTTTTCAATCCGGGCACAAGCCACGCGGGCATCGCTCCTGCAAGGCTGCAACCAAAGGACCACGCACATCAGGGTCAGCGCAATTCGCGTGCCTTGGGCTCGGTATGCCCGAGTATGCCCTCGAACATTCAGACCATAGGTGGCCTTTTGGAAAAATAGATGGCCATGGTAAATGGAATAAACCATCTAAACCAGGGCCCTCTTTCTTTTACAGCAAACCAACCAAAAAGGACACCTATGATTCAGAAGCATGCCCACTCCAACTCCAGAGCTGCCATTGATAGTTCAGGTTGCTTCTTAGTTGCTCTTACTAGAAGCTAGACAACTAAAACAACCCTGGCAGGTTCCTAACGGCCCTCCTCACCATTTGCATGATATTGCATTTTGATTGAGTTGAAATCGCCAAACCACAAGGCTGGATGCACGGCCGAACAAGACCATTTCTGGGCAAGGTGGTGTCTCTCAAAGCCAAGGCAAGTTTTTCCACTATGCAAGTCTAAACCCAGTGAGTCTCCACGATGCTGGCCGTATGCTGAGCATCGATAGTACTTTCAAACGGAACAACGGGACCAACAAATGGCCATCTGTGACATGAGCCTTCTGTCCAAAGCCTGTGCCTGAAAGAGTGGGGTGTTCTCACGGCGCCATGCTAAGGTACAAACCTGATAGCTGTGCCAATGAGCCTCTGCCGGAAGTTGAAGTCGAAGGCTGCCTGTCTTGAAATCTGGCCGACTTTTGCCAATGACATCTTGGCCAGCGCACATCACCAAACCCAACTGCCAGACATCGAAATCGGAGTGCTGGGGAGATGTTCTGCGTCCCCAAGATGCGAATTGGAACCAAAACGAGTGTCAGAATCTGGATATTTCAGGTTGCCGCGCCACAAGCTAAGCACCTTGTAGGGCTGCCGTCCTAGCCCCCTTTGTCGCAACCGTTAGGTCCCCGAAACACAAGGCATCACAGCTGCGCAGCTGCAACATCCAAGAATGCAGCGCCGTGCGCCTGTGTATAAACCGTATAAGCACCTAGACCTAGACATAGCAAGCGGGCAACATCCAACCCAAAGAAAGGGTCGAAAAACTTCAAATCTCCTGCCTGCACCAGGGCGGCCAAAGCGGGTGCGGCCACGGAGGGCCGATTCCGCATCGCTGCCTGAAGGTGCGAGTCCCGTGATGGACCAATGAACCGCAGAGACAAGAGCTGCACAACTGCGCCACAGTCAACCCGGACAGTGGAAGGGGGGTCACCGGAATTCCCCTTGAAAAGTTGCAATTAACAGGCGATTTCGATCGAGACTGCCATTTTGGCGAGGTTCCAGAAAGGTCACCAATCATGGAGTTCTGTCAAGGCGTTGCTTGTATTTACGTGACGCTCTGGTGGCGAGGTCAAATGAGGTCAATTGCATCTTACTTAAGCATGTTGCAATGCTCCACTGCCACGGCTGGAAGCGCGACTTTTTTCTTCACCCGGAACTGGCAAAGCTGCGAGCCACCTGTACAATTGGGTGATACAGCTCTGCAGTCCAAACCCCAAACGGGACAGCACATGTTGCACGTGCCTTCGAGCGCCCGCTTTGCAAACAATCCCGCTTTGCAGAAAATATCGAGTTGTGGTTCCCAGAAAACATCTTTTGGGAACACCCTTGGTAGGAGGACCCAGTCTTGCATCTCCATCCTAAGCAGAGCTAGCTCATCTCCAACTTGTGTGCGTGCTGGGGTCGAAGGATTGAACAAGTTTGTTCTACCCCGTGCTGCTCAAGCGAAAACAGTTGACGGCTATATTATAATTATAACTATAACGGTAACATGGTACTGGCTTGTTGCAAATCCTTGAATAATGACTCTTTAGGCAGGGGGGGCTAACATCTGGAGAAAGCAGCTCAGCTGAGCTCCTTCCTCTCATTTAGCCTTTTTGGCGGTGCTGATTTTGGCAAACCAACATATTCTAACAGGGGACTGGGGAGGTGAATGCCCAGGTTGAAAGTATTGCAAGCGGACGTGTGGCTGCCCCCGGCCCCACAAGGAGCAGCTCAGAATCGCAGAGTCGCTCAGAGCCACTCGGCGCACTGAGAGGCCCTCACATTCCAAGGCGTGGGATCTCGCTCTCTGTGTCCATGGTGGGCTGTGACGCAAAGACGTCGAAGTTTCGCGCTGGTGCCCAGGGCACGCAGGCCACCAGCCGTGTGGGCGGCGAACCTCGGACGGCAAGGCTGCGAGCATGCTGAATGGCCATCTTTGGCTTGCCTGCTCGCTTCCCCACCAAGGCATCCAGGCTTTGTTGACTTCCTTAGGGAAGGACAAGTGGCCCGCCATGACACACTTGTCTAGCATCTTTTGATGGAGCACGGCTTCATTTAATCAACACATCATGTGGCAGCTCGCATCCATGCCACACACTGATACGCATAGTGCTTAGTGCCACACCGCCAACAAACACGCACAGCAATTCGGCTTTCACGAAAAAAAGAAACAGAGCCCAACCGTATGGAGGAGTCAGTTACTGCATGTCGCTTGGTTTCTACGGTGCCAATACACGGGTTCCATGTCGAGGCCAGGCGCTCTGCGCCTTCCGAAAGCGCTTGAAGTTAGGCCGGCCGCTGGCCGGCTCCTGGCGTTTGGGGCGAAGCGCTGCTTGCCATGAGCCATGTGGGCTTGGGGGCCTCCAACAACGCCCAAAACGCTGAGAGGCAAGCACATGATGTTGATTGACATTGCCCAGGCAGCAAACAAGAGGAAAACTGAAAAGAGAGCCAATCTGCATGAAAAACCGAAAAGAGCCAATCTGAAGAAAAAAAACTGAACAGAGCCAATCTGAATGAAAAACTACCCACTCGCCCACGAGTGGAGGTCACCCGCCTCTTGCCGCTCTGGCTCCCGACGCTTGGTGGTGGTGAACCAGGTGGCACGCGGGAGCTCTGCGCCTGAAGCAAGCTGCTGCATCGCTAGGGGCGTTAGGCAAAAGTGGCAAAGGGTGGGGTTCCTCAGGGCCTTGGGAAAGTTCTGACCTTTTTGGACCCAAGACTGCGACTGAGAGAAAACAAAACACTGCGATGTGACAAATTGGGCATAGTCTAAAACAAAGCTCCGCTTGAAGGAGAAAAGGGGCCCGACAAACGGAGCCAACATGGAAACACAAAGAATCGAAGACTTGTCCCGCTGCGGCTTGCTGCAAAGGCACCGTCCAGCACCAAGGCCCTCTTGGAGTTCCTTTGCAGTGAAGGCAGCCAGGTGTTCGTCGGGTGGAGGTTTGGCTCCACGCCGTCAATGATCTGCGGGAGCTCCTTGCATATAAATGTGTATATACATGGCTGCCCAGGAGAGCCGACATGCTGCATCTGTAGCACACCTTAAATGCTTGCATCGGAAATTCACCCACTGCCAAATACAGTAAGCACGTTCGTTGTCTACCATGGCCCAAGAAGATGTTGCATGATTTTATCATCTCTCCTCCTCCTTGACATCAGCCCGGCGTGACAGGGAGGCGTTGGAGTGGACCGTGCCAAAGTCCATCTTCTCTTCCTACCCAACTGCTAAACTTCACCACCCTGGGTACGGGGAAATGCGAAACTCCAATGTCCTGACTGCTAGTTTTCGAATCAGCCTTGCCAGTGTGTTGGACTCTATAATATGTGCTTTTTCTCGAGAAACGCGCATGGCAGCAGGCTTCTAAAACATGCGCGGCAAAAACAATGAGGCCGGAACATGTCTTTTATCCATCGCATGATATCGCATGCACAAACAGATCCAATGTGATCTCAAAGGAACTCTCTCAACCATACATCCTCACAAAAGTACTATATAACATATAAATCTATACATATATAGGGGGCCAAATGGCTTCTTTTTGCGCCATAACTTCAAAACCCATACCTGGACAGCTGGACATGGCCTTGAATACTTTGGGACCGATCAACGCCCAGCCTCCAGCTTCGGCGCGATCAGCGAGGGCGCACTCTGTTGGAGGCTCCCCTGGTTCGCGCCCGTCGTTCGAAAAAACGCCCGTGGGTTGCGAGGCGACCAAAGCGAACCACAAGCCTTTCTTTCACAAAGCCATGTTGCAATCACCACTAGGCCCACAAACGCGTCATTCAATGACAAGTGTTCCATGTCATTTGGCGAACAAGCCCTTTTGCAGTGAGGACCGAAGCTGCTCAAACTGGCCTGTGTGCAACCCACATTCTGACGCAAGAAAAGGGGTTCTCAAAAGTGAGCCCCCTGTCCAACCAACACCTACCCAAGAACGACCAACACCACCACAATTTCAGAAACAAACCGCGAAGGCAGCAAACCAAAAAATAGGACACCACCAACGGCATGAGATTTACCAACAGCAACAGCCCGAAGCCTGCGAAGGCAACACCAACAAGCACGCCAACGAAACCAACAACAGAAACAGCAACAAGAACAGCGGCAACGGCAACCTCAGCATCAATAAGCCAAATGGCAGCACCGTCAACAACGACAACAGCCAGCAAAACAACATCGACGACAGCAACCACACTGTCACCATGCATTTACCACAAGCTGCCACGACCACGACGACCACCACCATGAACAGGTCCACGGCCGCCAGAACAAGAACAGAAACACCAACGCCGGCCAACACCAAGACCACCGGCACCGATTCATGCACCGACACAACCATCGACCAACCCAGCCACCAGCGTCAACCACAACCACAAGCAACAAAACCACAACAACAGCCTCCGCGACAACAGCACCAACAACAGCAAAGCAACTGCAAAAAAAAATAGCAACGGACGACCAACGACAACCAACCAACCGACTGACCGACCGACCGACCGACCGACCACCCACTCACCAACTCAATCACCAACCCAATCACCAACCAACCAACCAACCCACCAACCAACCAACCAACCAACCCACCAACCAACCAACCCACCCACCCACCCACCCACCCACCCACCCACCCACCAACCCGCTAACACGCTAACACGCCAACCCGCCAACCCGAACCTGCCAACCCAGCAACCCAGCAACCCAGCAATCCAGCAACCCAGCAACCCAGCAACCCAGCAACCCAGCAAACCCACCGACCAACAACCCGCCAACCAACCAGCCCACCAACCAACCCACCAACCCACCAACCCACCAACCCAGCAACCCACCAACCCACCCACTCACCAACCCACCAACCCACCAACCCACCAACCCACCAACCCACCCACCCACCCACCAACCACCCAACCACAGCAATCTTGGCAAGTAGAGACCTGCGCCTTGTCGCGAACTCCTGGCGCGAGCGCTGGCTTGCTGACGTGGCCAAGATTCATTGGGTTTGCCAGCGTTCCACTTTTCAACTACCCCAGGGTAGACTTAAACCCAGGGGTGGTTCATTGCCCCCAAGGGCAACCCCTGGGTTTAGATCCATCTTGGGGTAGTCAAAAGTGGAACCCTGGCAGCCTGGGCTTTGCCCTCATAAAAGGCTCACATGATGTCTGTTGAGACTTGCTATGTGAAACTGGATGGGATGCATGCGTTGGAATGTAACACGGCTAATACGGGGCAGTGTCAGTCGTGCCCATGTAGCCGCCAACAGAATTGCCGTTTACCCAGGTTTCAATCGCAAGAAGGCTCATTCACAGCCACGCGTAAATTACATACGTAAAGTGAACTTGGGAAGCTCCAGCCGAATATATACTCTTGATTTATATGTTGAAATGTCATGGAGCCCACCTTAGGCAGCTCCAGCTCGAGCGGAAACACGGTGGACATGTCAGGGCACTTGCAACAGCAATTCAGGGCACTGCTTCCAAGAAACCAAGGGTGGACGAGTTCTTTGTGAAGACGATGTGGTGACGCTTGCAGAAACCAGGCCGGCAGTCATTCGAAGTGTACCAGCACCTGATGCCCCGCTCCTTCAAGTTGAGCTGCAGGATGTTGTGTTGCCTCTTGGCACCGTTCTTGCTGGCGCCTTTCTTCTCGACACCTTTCCTCTTGTTGTTGCCGCCGTCGCTCTTCTTGTCGTTGCTGCTCCAAGCGCCTCTCCTCTTGGAGTCTCTCTTGGTCAAGCCTCTCCTTCTGCAACAACTCCTGCTGACGCCTTTCTTGCTCAAGCTTCTCTTGGTGAAGCTTCTCCTTCTCTTGTTGCAGCCTTTCCTGTTGGAGCCGCTCCTGTTGAAGCTGCTCCTTTTGAAGCTTCTCTGCTTGGAGCCGAGCCTCTTCGCGCTGCTGGTCCGGCTGCTGGCAGTGCTGCACAGGCCGTGCTCCTCCCAGTGCCTCGTGTTCATCCACCTTCTCCTGCTAGGCAAGCCCAACCTAGCCCCTCGCACCATGAACTTCGCAAAACCAAAGTCAAACAAACAATGAACCCCCTGGAGGCTGGCCCCAGGCATGTTCTCCTCCTCCAGCTTGGTATGCTGCGTTGATCTGCAAAGGCCTGCAAGTTGCTAGCTCAAAATGCTCAGAACCTGCCGTCCCTTCCACAGTAGGGATCGGGCACTTCGATTGACAAGCCTTTGGGCAACAAACACCCGCGAGGTGCCATCTCATGAGAAGCTGAAGTAATATCGGCATGTGATTAATAAACCTCCTCTGATGAAAGACACACTACTTTGAAGGCACCCACAACCACAAGGTCTGGCCAAAAGAACCCTCTTAAATATTGGTTGGGCGCCTCCCAGCACCTTCTCTGAAAAAAAATGAGTACCACAAAAACACAATTCAAGGCTAGTCTCCCCCCTTCCTTCCCCCGAACAACCCCCTCTGAATAATCCTGGCCCTCTCGAGCCCTGGAAAACATAAAATGAATTTAATTCCTTTTTCTTTCCTCTTGCAGTCCTATTGGCCAAACAGGGCTCATAGGAAAGGATCAGAGAGGATTGGATGGGTCCGGATCGCGACAGCGCCAGGGAGACCCTAGAATTTTGATTTTTGGGAGGGTGTATGAATCATGTGTGTACATAGCGTGCAAACGGTTCGCCTGGCTCCTGGACGGTGTTCGGAAAGCTCTCCTGGCGAATGCTATCAAGAACTTTAACTGTTTCCCGCGGGCTACCATATGAGCGCCGTGATGATCCGTGGTGCGGGACTTTGGCATTTCTTAAGCTAAGGCGCTAAATCGGCACATGCTTGTTTCGGCGGAATGCGACCACGTCAGGTGATGCTAGAGCGCGCACACGCACGGGCACAAACACACAAAGACACACACACACACACAGCACAGCACAATACAACACGTGCACGCAGCACGCACGCACACACGCACACACCACTAAAACAGCCAGAATCATCTGGACTGACCGACCAGCAGTTCATCAACATCTCCTACCAAGCATGCACTACACTTCGCACGCTCCAGCCATGACCCCCGACAACGCAAGTCCACCAAGTGCCCAGTCCTCTTTGACTCGCATCCCTGCCTTGGACTCCTAAGCTGCGCTTGCACTATGCCTATCCAACAACTGGCGATCGGTGAGCCCGTGCTGAAACACCACACCTTTTTCAATGAAAATCAAAAGCCTTTGCTTTGGCTGTCGTTCTATCGGCTTGCCCCGCCCTACTCACTGAAACAAAACACGAGACTGTGATGGCCCACCGATCACAAATCAAGCCAACCCTTCCATGTTCCAAAACCAGATTGTTGACTTCCACGGTAGGTCCTATGAAAATCAGACATGTCGAACAAAATGCATGGTGTCAAAATCATAGCCCCCTTTTGGTTTCCCCACCCCCCCCCCCCCCCCCCCCCCCCCAAAAAAAGGAAAGAAAAAAAGCACGGGCCCAAGGCGGCATGGTGCAAAATCTCCCCCCCCCCCTTCAGCCCGGCGGCCCATGGGATCTGCCGCTTCCGCTGTGTGGCCATCTCCGGTCGGGTGTGCGTTGGGTGCGTTTCCTGGGCGTGAGAACTGACGTCTGAAGCAGCCAAGGGTCACACGACGACCCCAACTGCATAGGTGACACGTCTTGTGCCCTGCCTCAATCCAAAGCGGTTGTTTTCAGTGGTGTAAAATTGCCCTGGGATTGTCGCACTCCTCCCTCCCTCCTTCCCGCCCTACCTCCCTCCGTGCCTCCCCTCTATTTTGTCTCTTCTCAGTGTCTCTCTCTCTCTCTCTCGCTAACTCATCCAACTGGATCCAAAGCCCCACAAAGGCTTTAGACATAGCCCGCTGCCATCGGGGTTTCCAGCTGTCGCTTGAGCCCCGCGCCGGGAAGCTTTCCAGCTCCGCCTTGGGCAAGGGTGCCTGGCTCTGGATGCGCTGGTTGCTTCCGGCCAGGATAGCGCCAACCACAGCCTGCGGTGCAGCACGCATCCCTGTTGCCAGCAAGGCGTGGCAACAAGGGCCTAGCAGTTTTGACATGACCGGGTTCAGTTGAACTTAGTGGCCTCCTTGACTCCTGACCATTGCATAGGCTTCAAGCTGTGGACATGGTTGCGCACATGTTAACGTACGTTTCTTCGGAGTACACCACCAATATGCGCACCCACCGCCTGCCCACTGACCCAGCTGCCGGCTAGACAATCATGCTTTTGCAATCAGATCGAAAGCATCCATACAAACATGGCAAGCCCAGTATTCCATGACTTCCTGGTGCGATAGGGAATGACCGTTGCGGGTGTTGGGAATGAACGGGTTTTGGTAACCTTCACTTGCCCGGGTTTTGACTGTGGCCTCACGCACTTCTGGGGTTCCCAAAAAACCTTCTCCAGGCCTGTTGGCTCACCACGCGCACGGGGCATCGCAGCTCCGCCAGGGGCTGGGCCAGCACGGCGCCCAGCCCAGGCGGCAGCGACGGAATGACCCAGACCTGGCCGAGTTTCATAGGACAACGGAACGGGACAAACCGCCCAAGCGCAGACTACCCAGTTGACCACCAGATGGGCAAACCACCCTGGCGCAGGCGACCAAGTTCTCCAACAAAAAAAAGTTGACAAACCACCTGGCGCAGGTCCATCGGTTCGGTGTTCTCCGTTTCAGTTCGACTGGTGTCCTTCCATTTGCTTAAGCCGTGGTCGATTCCTTTTACAACCAGCAGGGGAAAATAACACATCTTCTTAAACTAATGGAAGATACCCAAAACAGGTTAAACCGGGGAGGACACCAACCCTCTGCTTAAACAAATGGAAGCTTCACATCGACCGGCTCGGCATCCTTTGGATCGCCTCCCGTGGCTTGCCCCGCGCTCGCTTCAGCTCCTGCAGCACCACGTTGGCCGCCGCGTCCTGGGTCTGGAGCTGCACTTGGCAGCCCGCGCCCGAGAGGGCCACGGACCTCGGGGAGAGCTGGGTGCCCTGCTTGGGGGGTGTAGGAACCCAAAGGAAAGGGATACCACACAGAAGCCAAAAGGATTCAAACGAAAAGGGGATACGTGTTTTTGTTTTTGTTTGTTTTTCCTCTCCCTTGGGACGCAACATGGAAACCAGACAAAACTGCGCGACAGTTCGGCAAGCTCCCGGAGCTGAGAGCAAAGCTTAGTGGCAAAGCCAGTGGCATGGAATGGGGGGATTTTCTGGAGGGATGGGTGTCGCTTTCGCGTGGCTTTCTCGAGCTGTCGCGGAGAAGGCAAATCCAAGCTGACAAGTGTTACCGAGAACTGCCTTCAAAGCGGAGTCCGGCTACAAAGAAAGCTGTGACCCACCTACGAGTGTGCAACTTGCAACCTGGCATCTGCTTTCCCGCCACCGGCTCGCTTAGAAAAACTCGCTTTTGCCTGCACTTCTTTGGACACTTTCGAGAGCTTGGAACTTTAGCAGGAACTTTGGGCTTTGGTGCCAACCATCTCAGCCCTCCTTTCCTTCAAAGGCAGGCCAAACCTCAGCACGCGAATGTTAGCAAATTTTATGAACAGCTTGCAGCTGTGAATCTGCGGCCGCTTGCTACCGCGGCACAGCGTGTCGTACGTCTGCTTTGCGCTGAAGATGACCCACACACCTGCCAGGCTCCATTCAAACTGAGAACTGTTGAGCCCTGTGACTCAGGCGCAACGTGACATTCACACGCCTCACTCACGCTGCGATTGTGTCCCAGGATTGCCAATGGAAAACTCAGTTGCCCAAAGGAATGGAAACAAAAGGTTACCTTTTGGGGCAATGACTAAGAATGGACCAAAACGGGAAAACCAAAAGGTCAAAAGGTCGGCTTTGGGCAACTAAGAAAAAGCAGTGAAAGCAAATCGCCATAGCGAGATGTCACGAAATGTTTGCTGCCTGACGATGTCTCGTACAAAGCTTCAGGATGTCAACTCGGAGAAATCCGTGAGTTTGTCTGCTACCCGGGCTAAATGCCATCACGTGTTGTGGCAGGGGCCAGTCAAATTGGGATGGAACCAAACACTAGCGCCGAGCAAAACAAACCCATGCCGATCTAATTCCGAGCAAAACAGCAGCCATGGTCAACAGAAAGCGCAAGCAAGTCAAGTCTCTGCCCCGCTTTTCTGTTCGCACCTGCCAGCAAGTCCTTTCTCTTCTGTGGCGAAGCCACGTAGGCAGAAAGCTCGTCCGCATAGGCCGCGTCAACGCCTGCCGCGTGCTCAATCGATGCACTGACCGTCTAAGCTCCAGTGTGGATTCTGACAGCACTTTGTTGACTAAGCCTTGGGTGAGGTGTTTGCTCTTCTGTCTATGCGTGTGTTTTGCCCGCGGAAGCTTGCTTCTGCCCATGGCCTGTTGGCTCTACAAGCCAATCAATGCAAAGCTCACTTACCCCAACATCGGCTCTGCTTGATTGAGAGCAGCTGGGCAAGGGAAACAAAGGTGCAGAGAGAAAATAAACAGCATCATTTGAGTCTCGAAAACTTATTGCCTCCCGCATTTGATGCCTTCTACATCCCCACCTTCAGCAGGAAGAGGGGCAAACTCTGTCGCCGGCGGCGCAGGGCGGAGCCTTGATCGGCTCACAAAGGCGTAGATATGAGTTGCTTTAACAGCATGTGCCAGTCCCCTCGGATTCAGTCCGCAAGTTCATGGCGAAAAACTCACTGAGGCCAAGGAGCAGAGTACTCCGAGCTTGCCAAGGCCCACATGGCAATGCTGACATGATTTAGATCCAACCTGTCACTGGGGGTTGCACACCCAGTTTTTCAGGTGTTGCATTGTAAAACTTGAGCGTCTTGAGGGATTTAGGCCCTCATGTTTCCTTGTGAAAGTGTGGGTCACTTCTTCACGTCTAGGGGCACTAGTCAGCAACGCAAAGAAGTCACAAAAGCACTCAACAAGAAGCAACTCCATCCAAAAAAGCTCAGTGTGACTCCTGTGAAAACCTGGCCCATTTCACGTCCACTTCCAGGCAGCAGCAGCAAAGAAATGACCACACCTCCTATGCCTGGCTTGCCGGATATCCAACCATCCAAGCCATCTGTTTTTCCTCAACTCGGCAACACCACAGAGTCAGCCGACCATGACTCGGCGCAAGCGTATAGGTGCCCGCAGTGCATGTGGCCAGGCCCCAGACTGTCCTATGCTTGCCTAGCAGCTCAGTCTGCTCACCCACGCGCTGGTGAAGTTCGGTGAGAAAGGCCATGGACACAGGCGACCTTGCCGGGAACATGGCACACATCGTCAGCTTAGCTTCCAAAAGAGGGAGCCCTCCGAAACATACAAATGCCGTGCAGTAGCAAGTGACAGCGACTACTCTTCAAGAGAAAGCCAGGCGTAAAGTTGCATTATTAGGGAGATTTGGCGTAACAGCAGGCCTGACGTAATGAATGTCCTGAAGAGCCCAAAACCGCGTGAGGTACTGTAGTTGCTCGATGATCATTCAACTAGTTGAGTGCATTTGCCTGCGGCACACTGCCTTACAGTCTTGATTCCGTGGGGCTTATTCTACCAAAAGTCCGGCAATTATTAAGAACGGAGACAGCACAAATAAATGCCAAGACACGCGCCGTCGATGATGCAGCACAAGAGCTTGGGCGTGATTGCAAACTGCTCCAGCAAAAGATGAGTGCATTGAGGCGTCCAGTCGGGTGTCAGAAACCTGCGCTTGCAGATTGCAATCTGGTTGCGAGACAGGGAAGCAAAAAGGACACCATAGAAGACACCTGACACCAGGGGTTGACGAAAGGTCTGTTGATCGCTCTCTGGACTGGAGGAACTCCCCGAACAAGACACCTGTGCCGCATTCGCGACATTCCCACTTCCAAAGACAAAGGCGCCTAAAGTGTGATTCATTTTTGACCCCCCCATTGGAGCCTTTTGAGGGCCCACATGCCCCAAAACAGAAGTGCGGCAACCTCCTCAACCTCATAGTTCGGTGTTTCCCCCCTTGTTTGTTTCACTTCGCCCGGCTGAAGGCCATTAATAAATATGTTTTAAATAATAATAAAAAAAGGTATTCTGGTTGCGCCCGAGCAGCGTTCCGGTGGCGCGGGCTTTCTCCTCGAGTTGCTGGAGCTCCGCAGGAGCCAAGCGACTGGAGAAGCTCACCAGCATGGGTCGCCAGCACCTTTTGCTCAGTTGCCCCTATGGGACCTGGAAACCAAAAGGCGATCACCTTTTGGTTGGCCAGGACTATTAATGGACCAAAACGGGAAAACCAAAAGGTCAAAAGGTCGGCGTTGGGCAACTCAGTCTTTCAAATGCCCTGTGGCTTCTGGGCTGCCCGCTTTCAGATCCCCCACGAGAAGAGTGACTAACTTTTAGTGGGTTACATGGAAACCACTAAACACTACGGGGCTAAAAAGTTATGGCTGGGAGCCACCAAGAAGTTTGTGGCTTCACTGTGCTTTGTCCGCGTCCAAGGGGCAGCTTGTACCTCACCGGGTCCACGCCGAAGTGCAGCAGGTCGCCCTCTGAGAGCTTCTGCGGGGTCCTTCCACTGAGTCTGACAGAATTGCCCTCCAAACCGCGTGCTGAGCAAGGTTCCCTACCTTGAGGGCGAGGGGGGGTTGGGGGGGTCCCCCAATTTCATTTATCTAGTCTTCCCCACAAAGGAGACAATGGAACCAGAAATGGAAAATTCCAGGCGCTCTCCCACATTTATAAGGGAGTGGGGATCAAACAATGCGAACGCACAGCGAAGGATTGCCAAGGCTCCCTCGACCGGGCTGCTGGCCATTTACAAAGGTGTGACCCGTGGACGAGCGGTCGATGATGCAAATCTCCAGCGGGCTCACGTCTGCCAGCGGGCCTCAACTCAACACTGCCCTTACCTCCCCGGATTTGCCAAACTCTTCTGCTCCGATCTGAGCATTTGACCAGTGTTTTCAGGTAACATCAGGAGATCGGGAACAGCTCACACTTCGGGGTTCATGTTTGTTTTGGCGGCAAGATTCTACACAGTCAGCGGCCACCCCCTCTATGCTCCCTCGATTCATCCGTGCACAAAACACACGAACAAACACACTGTCGGCGACACATCGACTTTTGCTTGCCATCCATGGTATGGCTAGAAATTGGTAAAATCGGCCCCAAAAACCACAAACAGGTGCGACACATTGAGTTTCAATCGTGGGGCTGTGCGGCACTTGAGGAACATTCGATGGGGTTGCTGCTCCGTTGCGCACGTTGGGTTGGACGACTGGCAGTCCATTAACTTGCAGTCATATAACCCGAAATCCCAACACAAGCTACTCACCCATAAGCATGGGAGATGAGCATCCTAAGAACAAAAAGCAACCTGTGGAACTGTTCACGTCAGTGCGTTCTCCAACGCAAACAATGTAGACACAAACCAGCTTCTCAAAACAAGGAATGTTAACTAGTGCGTTCCGTGCAGTGTCCTAGCAACTTATCTTGCACAGCTGCGCATTCCCAATCCAAGCCCTGCAATCCTGTTCGTCGAAACCTGCAGGACCAAAGCTACAAGCATCGGTGAAAAGCTGAGCCGGCCCCGACTGGCCCCTGCCTTGTCTAGGGCGTACAACAACTTCCGCATGGATGCGCGATACGGACCTCGGCTGAAGAACCTTTGATTGTTTTGGTTTTGTCCGTGTTTCTGTCGCTTTTCCGAAAAGCTATGTAAAACATGGTCATAGGCAAAAGCAATGAGCAGTGACATATTCCACCCCTCATATTGAAAGCAACAATGCCACGAAGCTCCCGCAATTCAGTAGCTTGCTGCTTTAGGAGGCGACTCGCTGCTTGACTCGCAACCGGCAAAATGTCCAAGTCGCTGGTGCGATGAGCGGATCTGAGCGTTTGCTGCGCGGCCGATTTGGGCTGTGCCAGGCAGCAGCAACAGCGTGCTGCCTGGCAGTCGCATCAAAACACAGATTGCCAAGGATCAATTTGGCAATCCCGCGTTTGTGCGCAATCGCACACCCAAGGGAATATTTGGGAACATGAGCAACACAAATTCCAAGAGAACGCGTGTACCGAACATGTGTCTGCAACATGCCCTCTTATTATCAGCCCCTGGCACCCCCTTCAAGCCAGTGCAACAAGTTCAGCAAAACCAGCCACCGACATAGGTCTCTGGATTGGCGCCTTGGCTGGCAGTGACCCCAGCCTCAAGCCCAGGTGGGTGTTATAAAGCTATAAAAGGGTCTCTTGGTTGCTGTTGACCCTGGAAAAAGTTTTCAACTTGTTGGTGGTTTAGTGGAAAGCCCCAACTGATTTCAACCAAACAGTGAAAGTCTAAAGATCCAACCCAGCAGTCAAGGGCTGAGGGAAACCAATAGGCAGTCCACGCCAAGTGCTGGCCTCCAGCCTCAAGCTGCCAGCCCATCACCTGAAGCAGAAAGGACTGGATCCGTCAAGATCCGTCTAGGTGAATCCAATTTGCGCACACGTAGCCAAATTGAATGCATGCGATTGGCTGGAAGCCTGGAGCAAGAATCAGGGTTCCATAGATAAAAATGAACTTTGAGTCGTCTGTTCACTACCCTTCAGTTGCCAGCTAAGCGGCTGAGCCAAAGCGCACAGCCCCTTGACAGGGCCATAAGGCTGCAATGCGCCCCACTTCTGGTCAACGGCCTGTGACATGCTCTTAGTCAGGCTGCGAAGTTCTGCTCGGCAAGCACACCTGCATTGCCTTGCTTGGACATCAAAACAGGCTTGAAGCAACGAAACATTAAAATCGGGAATGCCAGGTGCTGGCAAATCTAAAGTACAGGTTGTAACATGCCGCGGCTCAAATTGAGCTCGGCAACAGCGAGGTTAGCAAAGGGGTATATGTCACATAGCATGATATGATCGCAATAGCAACCGGCATCACTGCGACGGCTGTCCTGAGCCCAAGCTGCAGTTGGTCAGACATGTGAAGCAACGGGCAGTGAGTCAATGTCAAATGTTTCTATCAATGGCTTGCATGGAACCACCAGCATGCCTGGGATCATTCCATCACTCTGGATGCCAAACGCCAGATTATGAAGAACACTCGTGCTATTGTTTTTTCTTTATTTGTTGTAAGGATTCTGAGCTCCAACGATCCAGGAGTCCTTCTCTTTACCAACAATGGTCACATCAAGCGCCAGGAGCTTTTCAATCACAACCAACTTCCAACCTAAAGGACACCGCTTTGACCAGGGGCCAAATTCTCAAAGTTGCTGTTCTGAATTCGAACACGTGCCCAACCTCCAAGTCCGGCAGCAGGCGCCTGCGGCAAGTGATCCACCATGGCATGTCAATGTGCACGCTTTGGTCAACCATCATTCACCTTGCCTCGCACCTTATGCACCTTTATCTTCCTGGCCAGTGGTCCAATCAATGGGAGCACCAATGTTGCATGAAGAAAAATCAAACATGACACCATGCATAGTGAAGTACAAATAAGTGTGTTGAAGTCGCCGGCCAGGCATATAAAACAAACCAGCACGACGGGCTCGGCTGCTAAAATGCAATGAGTCACCAACGCGAGCCGCCAAGGGGAAGTGAAAGCCAGGAGCAGAAGTGGCACTGAAGACAGGTTGTAGATCGATCACATCTGTAACAGAGCCCCATGACAATGCAGTGCGCCGGTAGCAGGACAGGTCTCGAACATCTCAGCGCCATGTGTCCAAGCGCACCTGGAATGGCGGTTTCCCTTTAAGGCTCCCTTAATCTCCCTTAATTCCCTTAATTGGCTTGATTTGGGACGCAAGGTTGGGGGCTTATTCTGGCTCGGGGTGTCCCATTTAGCCTCCAAAACCCAAATCCAAATCATTCCAAATCACCTCAGGGCATTCCCGCCTGTAGGTCTGCAGGAGCTTTAGCTCGTAGCGCTCCAGTGTAAGCACATCCCTTGGTTGAAGTTCACTGCCCAAACCGCCCGACCGGGAAAAACGGAGGTGGAAAAGGCCGAATCCCCGGAAAAAAAAAGGCAACCAAGCACAAAGAAGCCAAGCAACTCGACGACGTCCGGAACAGAACCACGGTGCTACTGATGTTATGTCAGGGGAAGGCCAGGGGTCTCACTGCTTCCTCTCAGATTCTCTATGGTTTGAGGCTACAAACGCTTTGACAACCCGACCGCCGACATTGACACAGTTCTCCAAGAAAGGAACGCACATGTCAATGTGCCCGCATGTGGAGGTGATATTCGAAGAAGTGATCCCCCTCTCCAAACTGAGTCAATCTTATAGCATCACGTAGCGGACTTGTTAGTGATCTAAATCATCACCCAGCGCAAGGCAGGTGTTTGTTGGGCATGTGGCAGGATTCCTTGGGCATGTAGCTCGCTAGGTGCTCTACAAACATTTGCACAATCACAAGCTTCACCCCAGCCTCCACAATTCCACATGCAAAGCACCAATAGTTTGCGAGGGTTCTACTTGCTATCGGCAACTTCGAGTGCAACCAATATTAAACTAAACAGACATGCAAGGAGTGAGAACCTGGCCTATAGTTCAACGTGACGGAAGACACGCCCCCGAAAACAGGCAAACAACACATTTGGGAGGGGGGAGGCATGAGGCGAATTTGATGGCCTATGCTGTGGAGGCTTTGCAGCACAAACGCTTCACATCCATGCTATTCCTTTGTGGTTGTCCATCCAAACGGCCACGGTCAATGATCACATTGTGTCTGTCCCATGACATTCGAGTGTAGTCAGTAACCACCGTTCAAATCATTTCCATTCATGTCCTGATGGGGACTTGGTGAGCGTAAGCAATGTCATTCCCTTCAACTCCATGGGCCAGACCTACTAGTTCAAAAACGTTCAAAGGCATTCATCACATAGAACAAACCTCGGCACACAAATGCATGTTCTCGCCGAACTGTGTGAGATTGGCCCGTCATCCGCCTCCCGGAGCGAGTCTCAGTTCCAACTCGCAAATGGGTCCCACCCCCCCGTGCGACGCGAAAAAATGGGGTGCAAGCGAGCCACTTTGACCGCGACTGCCATTTCTCCTGGTCGGTGGGCTCGCGGATGCGATAGCCTGCGTTGGTTCGAACACCTGAGGCCCCTGAGATCGTGAATCCGAAACCCTGAAGGCTCGCCGGCTCCCCAGTGAACATCCCAATCCCCACTAAAAAAGACGAAAATGGGTGGTGCACTTACCCCAAAATGGGATCCCATTGTATAATTTTGACCCACAGCCATTTGCACCTCCACCTGCACCACAACTGCAACAGCAACTCCAGATTGGGTAATGCTGCTACTCCATGCGGTTTGATCACCTCGTCTCGGGCCCAACTTTCAAGAATCACTGGCGGTGCCAATCGCGGCATCTTGTATTTCTCTATTTCTGCCAACCACTGCGCTCACGAAAACTGTGAAACATCCATCCCCAAAAAAACAACGGTGCACACACGTGGACAAGTGTCCGGAAGGAAACGCCAAAAGCCCAGCCAATGCCTGGCACAAGGTCCTTGAAGACCGCCACTGCCGACAGCAAAGCCATGCTCTTTGTCTCCTGAGTCCCTGCGCCTCAGGTGACGCACGTGACTGGAGGACTTTAGTCACTGGACGACCCACTTGCTCAAGCAGAACGGTACTCTACAAGGCAATTGGGAACAACACTGAAACTTTCTTGAACAAGGCCCGCACAATCAAAGACAGCAAGTCTTAGAACAGGCAGAGCAAGCACACAAGGTGATAGCTTCCTGGTGAGTAATCACCATGCTCAAGACACTAATGCGTACATGGCATATAGCAAAATCAAATGCTAGCTCAATTTGCGCTGTCAAACTTTCAACACGGGCACGGAGCACTGCAGCTGTGACAGCTGTAAGATAAATTACTCACAAGTTGGCAGCCGCTAGATTCTAAAGTTCATTCACGACCGTTTGACAGCGTGAAGACTAGCTTCGAAACGTTCCCTGGGAGTATTGACAAGCCAAGCAAACATTGCGCTCAAGTGAAGCACAGTAAGAGGACGACGCTGCAGGTGGAAGAAAATGTCGAAAAGGTCGAGCTCCTGCCAAACCAATGGCACATCGCAAGCTCGGAGCTTTCAACCGATTCAGGATTCATGCCGGTTTTAGTGTGTGCACCCTGGCCTGTACCTCCATTCGGCGAAAAAGAATCACACACTTGGAAACACCACCTAGAGGTGGAGCCCACGACCTAAATCAGCCTGGTGCAAGCGGCCTTCTCCGGCTCGGCAGCGATGCGTTCAGCAGCAGCCGCCAACCTGCAGAGAGCAATCTTTTGGATGCGTGCAGCCCAATCTGCACAGCCACTCGCGCTTGAGCCAAACTTAAAATGCCGAAGTTTCAGTGGCTGCATTTTACAACTACAATGGCCACACTTACTGAGCCATTACCACAGCTACAAATACAGGCGTGCAACAAACAATGCTCAGTACGGTTTTGTGTCTTTTCGTTCGCTCTGAGTTGCGCACAGGCGGCGGTCGCCAGCACCTGGCAAGCACCCAACATGATGCTCGTCACCGGTGGAGGTGGTCCCTACTTTGTCGCCTTGTTGAGCAATTCCTACCCTCTAATATGTGGTGGGGCAACATGATTTATTCCTTTTCCATGTGGGGGGAGGGATAGCAACGAGCAAAATGTTCTCCAGGAACAAAACAACAACAGTTGAAACGTGCAAAGGGGTAATAATCTTGATCCGGTATTGGTTTAGTAACGGCCAAAGTTTAGCATTGGGAATTGGAGGCTTGAAAAAACCAATCGTTCATTGCTACGGGACCTTCATTCGAGGGAGCCTTTGGGCAAAGAGGTTTGTCGACCAGCCCTGTCAATGGGCTGACGCCGCCTCTTTGGGGGTGTAAAACGATCGGCAGGACAAACTTGAATCTAAACAGGGTGGCTTGTCTTTCTTTTGCGGCTTTGTTGGGGCCCCTAAAAAAACACACCGCATGCACGCTCACTCGTATGTACTTGTTGAGTTTATTTCGAGCTAAACACGCGCGGTTCGGCAACCCCCGCAAGCATGGAAGACCAGGCCTCCTTTCCTCAGCTTCTCGATAAGATCCGTCGCCCCCTGCCACCAACAAGCTGATGCTCTGACCCCCACCCCGTCAAATCGATCAGAAGTGAGATGTAGGGGACCCACCGCCAACCCTGCAAAACACTGCTTACCCTGAGATCCCTTGTTCAGTTTAAACGCAAAAGTGCTTGACGCGTGTGCGTGGTTTGCTCACCAAAGGGCAGCTGTGATCTTGAGCGATAGCTCGTCAGCAATGTGTGATGACGTCTTGTTCAACACAAGCTTCCGCACACAGCTGGATAATGCAACACACAAACACAAACAAACATTCAAGCAACGCAGGCAAGATAACCAACCAACCAACCAACCAAGCCAGCCAGCCAGCCAGCCAGCCAACCAACCAAACAAACCAACAA